TTACTTTATTTTAGAGATTATACTATGATGTATTATGTTATCTACAGATATACTTTGATCATTTTAATGGCTTTATGAGGCTTCACTGTGTAAGATACATATTGGTCAAAAGTCAACTCCAAAAATCCGCTGCTCTAATCTGGGGAACCAAAAGAATTTCAGTGCAGGGCATTAGGTGCTTGAAAAGCCACTGGGAGGTCAGAGTGAGAGGAATGTCCTGCGAACAGTGCTCCAAACCCACAGGAGGGCACTGTCTGGGCCACAGCCCTGACGAGGGAATCAGGAAACACTCCGCTGTGTTCCAGAGCACATCACTGTAGCTGTAGTCTTGATTTAGGGAATTTGCTACCATTGCATGCCTGCTGGCATGAAAGGGGTGTGTGTGTGTGTGTGCGTGTGCGCACGCGCGCGTGCCTGCTGCTGCACAAAAGCCCAGGATCTTCGTAGCAGTGCTAGTACTCACCAGTACTTCAGCAAACTCACAGAGGGAGATGTCTGCTTAGCTACTTTTCTCGTTGCTGAGACAAAAATATCTAACCTCCAAAGTTCAACGAGGAGAGGTTTATTTAACTCACAGTTTGTTGCAGTTTCAGTCCATAATCCTCTGGCTCCAAGGCAGGGTGGCATGGCAGAGGGGCAACAGATCAGGGTGACAGAAAACAGCAAAAGCAACAAGTAGGGAAGATAAGCTCTTTGTCCCTTATACTGTATCCAGTCTACTGGGATAAGGGCGATGCCAATCCCATCAGTGGACTGATCCAGCACTCACCCATCCTTAATCTCAGCTCCTTTAATCCTAGTATTGCATCAGGAATCACTCACACACTTTAGATTCGGCCACCTGCTAAAAACCTCATCTAAAACGCACCAGGCTTTGCAGGGACAGCTAGACACACGTCACGATACCTGCCTTCCCTCTTTCTGTCTTTCAAGTGGTTCACTGCTCACTTCATGAACAGAATGCAAATCCTAGCTGCAGGAAGGGTCTGGGAATGTTCCTCTCAGTGAGACTCCTCAGCAGGGAAGATTTTCAGCAGGAGGAAGGAATGAATGCCAAGGGCCACCCAGCATGTGTTTAAAATTCATTGTTTTAGGGATAGAGAGATAGCTCAGTGGTCTAAGCACCTGCCTGGAAAGTGCGAGGACCCGAGTTTGATCCCCAGTACTTATGCCATGTCGACCTTGAGCCCCAAAACCAGGCATGGTGGTGCATGCCTGTAATCCCAGTTCTGGGCAGGCTGAGATTAAGAGGATCACTATGAGTCTGAACTGCGTAGTGAGACTCTGTATCCAATAAATTAATTAATTTAGTTTTTTAAAAAAATCCTTGAAAAAGTCATTATTTTAAATTATTGCCTTATTGATGTGGTTTAAAGAGCCTAAGAAAGCTGCAGGGGCACTGCCTGTCAAGAAAGGTCAGCCTCTGGGGCTGGTGAGATGGCTCAGTGGTCTAAAGCACCTACTTAGAACAAATTTAGCAAAGCACCGGGACCGCGGTTCAATCCCCCAGCACCACATGCCAGCCAGCCCCGCCCCCTGGTGGGTTGAGCTGGACACACACACACACACACACACACACACACACACAAATAAATAAATAAAATTTTTTTTTTAAAAAAAGAAAGGTCAGCCTCTGGGCTTGGGAGTTCCTTAGATGAAGCTTAAGGGCTGGGTTATTACAGAGCTCCCTTCTAGGGGCTCATGGTCCCTTGGTCCCTGTGGGCTTTGAAGGACTGATTTTCCTGTGCTCTGGCTATGAGATGCCCATCACAGGTGCTGGGTGAAGAATGAATCCACTAATACAAGGGGGACCAGTAGCTCAGAAGGCTCTTGACTATTATGACATTTTACGAGGTCACTGGCAGGGTGGTGAAGCCACCTCACGTTCACTCCCTCAGGTCATTTCACCGTTCCACCTTGTGAAGTTCATTCCATGCCATTAACCAGGAGAGACAGAGTACACTACACAGTAGCAGCCTCTGCCCCTGCTGCTTGTGGAGGACTTCCATATCTGTCAGCATAGCATAGTGGTTAAGTTGTTGGTTCTGAAGCCAGATCGTTCCATGATATGGTTCTCAAATCCACTACCTTCTAGCCGTTGAATGGTGAACCTTCTGTGCCAATGAAGTAAAATAAAGGACTGGGGGGTATGTCTTAGTAGCTTAGTGGAAGAGCACTTGACATGAGGCTCTGGATTTGAGTTCTAGCAGTGCAAATGTAAATTGATTCAATAAAAATAAAAACGAAAGTGTTGAACATAGCTCCTTCTGTTTGGTAAGTTCTCAGCAAGTATTATTATTATTATTATTATTATTATTATTATTATTGCAGTACCTTGGATCAAACTCAGGGCCTTGCGTTGCCAGGCAGCTTGCCTCAGCCCCCTTCAGCAAGTTTAATTTTTTTGTTGTCTTAATGGGAAAGTGGTCAGGTGTTAACGTACCTTCCCACAGACAGAGAAACTCAGTCCCAAAGGCCTGCACAATCCTGCAGGGCCAGCTCCATGATAGGGCTCTCTCTGCACTGGGATAGAAGGCAGGGGCAGCAGGAGAGATTAGAAGGGTAGGCTGGGCAGGTGCAGCTGAGGTTAAGGAAAGACAAGTTTGACTCAGATTTGCCAGGGACCAGACTTTCCCCTCTTTCTTACTGGCTGATAACATCAGGGAAGCTTTAATCTTGGATCTCAATGGTCTTGGGGAGGAGGGGACAGTGAGAGTGAATGGAGTCCTGAACTGGGTAGTGAGGACTAGACCAGCTGGTCAATTTGCAGTCTTTTCTAGCATTTTAAGCCCTACCAGTAGAGGGCGCTCCTCCCTTCGTGAGCCAACCTGAGTTGGTACAAGAGTTAGGGGACTGGGCTGGTGAGATGGCTCAGTGGTCTAAAGCACCTACTTAGAACAAGCTAAGCTAAGCAAAGCATAAGGACTGCGGTTCAATCCCCCAGCACCACATGCCAGCAAGCCCCGCCCCCTGGTGGGCTGAGCTGGCCACACACACTAAATGAATAAATAAATAAATAAACAAATAAATTTAAAAAAAAAATCTGATGCTTAAAAAAAAAAAAAAAAAAAAAAAAGAGTTAGGGGACTGTGACTGTCCAAAGTGGGGATAAAGCTGTAGGCATTGGTTGCTATTCACTGGTCTGAGGTTCAGAGCAATTTCTTTGTTTGGCCAAGCAGCTGGGGCCTGAAAGTCAGACATGGGCACTAGGTATTATACTTGGGACTCTGAAGACATTGGAGGAAATACAGGCATGGGGCCTCGGGTGTGCATGACAGAGAATGTGTTATGTCAGTGAACCTGAGTCTTTGGATTCAATTTCTCTTTTCCTTTATTTCCTGCAGAATTTTTTGATGCAGGAGGAAGTGATGTGGATTTGAATTTTGGGGGACTCAGGGGCCGCGGGGTGAAGAAGCAGGACCCCCCAATTGAGCGGGATCTCTACTTATCCCTGGAGGATTTGTTCTTTGGCTGCACCAAAAAAATTAAGATCTCTCGAAGGGTGAGTGCTTGGTCTGCTCCTCCCATCCCCCAGCCCCATGGTACTGTGTGTCGTGTACTCTTCCCTTCTCTACCTGGAGAACTTAGGAATGTTCTTGGATACAATCATGAAACCCCAGGAAGAGACCTAGGTTCTTAGGATTCTATAACCTGAAGTTGGGAAGGAATGGAGCCTCCTGTGAATTCTGCTCTTGAGATTTCCAGGGTCCCCCACAGGATTCCATCTGGGCATGAGAGAACAGCTTGGGTATAGAAGATAGTCCTTAAATTGACAGGTTGAAGAGGACCCTTGGGTGTCCTGGAGTTCAGTCTGTGGTCTCATGGCCCAGCCCTCTGCCAGCACCTCCCCTGCTCAGCAGAAGAGATGCCCACTCTGGCCATGCATGCTATAGATGGCACCCATGTGGGCTTGCGATTGGGCAACCACTGCACTGGGTGATGCTCATGTGGATTCACTTCCACATCCTTTCTTTTTGAGATTAAGAGAACAGCCAGAAGCTCATGGCCAGGGCTGCTGGGATATGGAGAGAGGGACTGATTACGTTTTCATTCTGCATCTCAGTGGCCAGGGCTGGAGGTGTGGGTTTGATTAGTTTGTGGTGACCACTTGGTGTCTTGGGCCCCAGCTCAAGCCCTAGGCTGTGCCATCCTAGAAACATAAGCCCTTAGTTCCAGTGGCAACAGAATGGGAGGCTGAATGGCTGAGCACAGGTCTTCCCACTGCTGGAGGACCGAGCCGGGTCTAACTCTCACAGAGCATCATTCATGTTTGCGAAGGGGACTCAGGGAAACCTGAGCCAGACACCTCACACCCTGTCACTGCAGGTGCTAAATGATGACGGGTACTCCTCTACGATCAGGGACAAGATCCTGACAATCGATGTGCGGCCTGGATGGAGGCAGGGCACCCGCATCTCCTTCGAGAAGGAGGGAGATCAGGTGAAAAGAAGGAGCTGACCAGGGTCCGAAGAGGCTCAAGAGCTGGGGAGACTGAGGAGGAGACAGTGCCCTGTCCTGTCCTGGAAACCGTGGTCTGGGAGGGAGACCAGTCCACAGAGTCATGAGGCCATCCCTCTCGTCCCGTCTCTTCTCAGGGACAGAACCTCACAATACCTCTGTAAGCAGGTAGCTCAGGGCTTAGCCCCAGGCCCTTAGTGGGAAACTCAAGCCCAGAGACAGACAGGCCTTGCCCAGGGCAAATGTACTGGCAGAAGGGAGAAGCCAGTCTTACCTTCAGGTGTTTTCCTGATTTTCTCCAGTGCTTCTAGGAATAAAGCCCAACTAGAAGAGATACTCAGAACCATTTACTACTGATAATTTTAAATTACTTATTTAAATAAAATTGTAAAATTATTATCCTAGGCACCCTGAGTCCTAAAGTCCTGAGAAGAGGCACAGAAATGGAGTATTCAGAATAAAGAGATTAATTCCTCTGCCTATACTTCTTGCCCTTTCCCACATCTACTCCTAAAACACCCTTGAGACCATGACCCCTGGCCTGGCAGCACAATAAAACCTTGTCTCAAACAACAAACAAAAGAAAATATACCCTTCTAGGCCAGGCATAGTTGACCTGTAATACTAGGACTTGGGGGGCTGAGGCAGGAGGATCTCTGTGAGTTCAAGGCTGGACTACATGGTGAAACCCTGTCTCAAAAAACCTCCAAGGGGCTGGGGGATAGCTCTGCTGTCTAAGCACTTGCCTGATAAGTACAAGGATCTAAGTTTGATCCCTGGTACCACATGTTGTGCGGGTGTGGTGGTGCATGCCTGTAATCCCCGTGCTGGGAAGGCTGAGACAGGAGGATAACTACAAATCCAAACTGTGCAGTGAGACCCCCTGTGTCCAAAAAACAAAAAACAAAACAAAAACAAAAAGCACAGCATCACCCTTCTAGGCCCACCCCTGAGCCACCTTAGGTGACCCTACGGACCAGTACCTCCTCTAATACCTTCTACCCTCAATCTCCTTTATCCTGGCTCTGAGCTTGCCAGGAATTCATTGTACCCTGCCCCGCCGGGCTTGGTGCTCCTTTGGGGAAGAGGCTGATCTGATTCTATTGTGTCTAGTGCCAGAAGAAGCTTAAGTGATTTTGGTGACAATAAAATTTGCCTGAGCCAGGGATATAGCTCAGCTGCGTAAGTGCCTGGCAAGTGTGAAGTCCTGTATTCAATCCCTGGTACCGAAAAAAACCAAACAAACCAAAAAACCCTGACTGAAAGGTGTCATTACTGAGTTGCTAACAGGACTGGGACCTGTGGGCCATTGTCTGACACCCACTCGGAGTCCCACTGGGGGACCCTCAGAGGTCCCTCTCCCCTCCTACTGACTACATTGACGTGCATGCTCGGGAGGGAGGCAATTCTTGAGGCTTCATCTGGGCAAGCTCTTCAGAAAACCTGGTCCAATATCCCTATGGGACGGATGGGGGCACAGAGACAAGGACAAGCAGCACCTGGCCGTGCTCACACAGCCAGTGAGTCCTTGCCGGCTTTGGCCTTCCCTACCCAGGGCCCCAACATCATCCCGGCTGATATCGTCTTCATTGTAAGGGAGAAGCTGCACCCTCGCTTCCGCAGGGAGAACGACAACCTCTTCTTTGTGAGCACCATCCCCTTGGGCAAGGTAAGGGGCACATTTGGGGGGCAGCGTGGGGGGGCCCGGACTCTGACCCCCACACTGGCCTAGCCCCAGCCTCCCCTCCACAGCCCAAAGCCTGGACCCTGCCACCCACACCTTATAAAGATCCATGGGTCTCAGTGTGATCTATTCTACCCGGGGAGAAATGGGGGCAGGCATGAGGGAAAGACAGACAGGAAGACAAGAGCTGGGTTAGGTGGTGACTCATCTGCCTGGTTGGTGAGATAACCCGGAGCAACGATAAGGATGTTTATTTATACCTCTGCAAAGTTAGTAACCTGTGGCACAAGGTTGCCTAGTGACTAATAGCTGACATTAACCAGTCAGGATGCTTATCTCAGGACTGAGGTAGCTTGTCTGCGTTAGGCATTGAGGCCTACTCCCACTTACACACATTTGACCAGTTTTTTAGCTTCCATGGCTCTCAGCAGCACCTCTGTCTACTCTGGCCGTCCCTTGGTCCCAGCTGGCCAATTCTGAGCACTGGATGGATCTTTGTGGGCCCCTTCCCTCCTCCTTGTCTTCTTGGGCCGTTGTTTCCAGGGCTGCAACCCTGCTAGCCTCCTCACTGTCTGAACAGCTCAGAGTGGTGTTCAAGAACAGCCTCCCTGTGCACCTGGCCCTAGGACACTGGGCACCCCTGCTGGGGAGTGCATTTTCATAACTCTGTTCTTTTTTCTGCCGGGCCTCTGCTGTGGGCTGCCTGCCCACCTGGCCCTGGACGGCCCTCAGCAGCTGCCTTATGTGACCTTCCTTCTCCCTCCAGAATGGTGAGGGGCCCCTTCTTGACTCCCACACATCCATTGTTTCCCTTTCCATCATGACCTTTGTATGTCATCAACATCAGTGTGGCCCACCAGGCTCTGAGCTCCTTGAGGTGAGGTAATGGCCTGGGTCAGTGTTGGTGAGCCTGTGGCATGCATGCTGCAGCGGTTTTGGTCATCCACCTGTTAGCTTTTTGGTATGATTTTATTGTTTTGAGCCAGAGTCTTGCTATATAGTTCAGGCAGGCCTAGAACTTGCTTATGTAGCCCAGGTTGGCCTAGAATTCATAGCGGTCCTCCTGCTCCAGCTGCTGTTGCTTTTTTTTTTTTTTTTTTTTGGTACGGAGAATTGAACTCAGGACTTTGCTCTTGCCAGGTAAGTGCTTGTGCCCCTGAGCTATATCCCCAGGCTGTCAGTTTTTGAATAGCCTTTTGTTTCTCTGGTGCCTTCCTCAGGGGCCTGGTACCAGATAGGATTGTACAGTGCCTTCTAAACAGGTTGGCCATGGTGGCCCTCCTCCCTTCCTCCTTTGCTCCTGACTCCTCCAGGCCCTCACGTGCTGCACTGTGGAGGTGAAGACCCTAGATGACCGTCTGCTCAACATTCCCATCAATGACATCGTCCAGTGAGTCTGCATCTGCCCTGCGGCCTGGTAGCTAAGGGAGAGTCTGGCTGGAGACTTAGAAAGTGGAGCCAGAGGGGGCCTGGGGAGATGGCTCAGTAGAATAAGTGCTTCCCTGGCAAGCACAAGGGCCTGAGTTTAATCCCCGGTTCTGAAAAAAAAAAAAAAAAAAAAAAAAGAAGAAAGTGGAGCCAGAAAGGACTACCAATACACTTGTACAGGCTGTACCCAACACATGTATGCCCTACTGAGAAGGGCAGAGAAGGTTGAAATCCACCCCACTCTGGCCGCATTCTCCTGGCAAAAAGAACCCCTCTTTCTTTCCTTCTTTCTTTGTTTCTGGCTTCTTGAGACAGGGACTCACTATGCGGTTCAGACTGGCCTTGAGTTCACTTTGTAGCCTAGGCTGGTCTTGAACTTGCAAAGATCCTCCTACTCAGCCTCCTGAATGCTCCACTATGTCCTGCTTAAGAATGCCTTGCTCTAATTTGCATGAATCCAAGGTAGAGGCCAGAGGATTTCTCTGTTGTCTCCATCTCCCAGACTTCTCGCTAGAGCCCTGTACTGCACCCTCTAAGTGTGTCTCTCGGGGAGGCCTTCAGGCTGGGGAGCTATGGGCAGCTGCCCAGCACTGCCACCTCTGTGCCAGGCCTGCTTACCTTCCCACACCTGGCAGTAGATTCCTGGGGTGCCCCAGCAGATGCTCCGCAGAAGGCTTTCCAGGGAGCTCTGTGCGGAGGAAGCCATTCTCTCCTCCCCAAAGATCAGCCGCTGAGAGCCATGCCCTAGGGGCAGCTGTAGTGTTGTTGGGGGCCTGGTAGGTGCTACTCCCCTAAGCTTCCTTCTTTCTCCTCTCTCCTTAGTCCCAAGTATTTCAAAAAGGTGCCAGGTGAGGGGATGCCAGTACCTGAGGACCCCACCAAAAAGGGAGACCTCTTCATCTTCTTTGACATTCAGTTTCCCACCCGCCTCACACCCCAGAAGAAGCAGATGCTGCGCCTGGCACTGCTGACCTGACCTGGCCGGCTGGGGTGCAGCTGGAGTGGGCACGGTAGGCTCACCGGGTGCCAGGGAGCCAGCCCTGCACAGCTGTGACATGAGGGGGTGGAATGGGACCTGATACTGGAATAATAAAGGCTTATTTCCTATCCTCCACTTCCACCCTGGCGAGTATTGTGGAGCAGCTTCCTGGTAGTCTTTCGTGCAGGCCCAGGAAGTACTGGGTCCCCATCCTGACCTGGTCAGAGCCCCTGTGCTCCCACTAGCATGGGGCAGGACCGCGTGGCATCTGAGGTCCCCAGGTCTGCCCTAACTCTTCACGACACAATCTTTGCATCAGTTGTTGGAATGTGACAGGCAACTAAAGCACACATAGAAGATCTGTTCCAGCTCACTCAGGGGTCAAAGCTGTCCTCAGAGCCTACAGGCTACTTCCCACTGAGCAGCTTAGGTCAGAGAGCACATAATGAACACAAGTGCTGGATAGGCCTTTGGTTCCTATCTCCAGCCTCAATCTCTTATCTGTGAAATGGGTTCTGGGCTCTAAGTGGGAGTCTTGGGCTCTGATGCCAGCCCTGCCCTTGTCTTGTTGGTAGAACAGAGCTCCTACTCCATCACAGGGTGCAGATTAGAGAAGGTCGCTGATGTGAGAGTGCTTGGTGGACACGTGCTTGGATGTCACAGAGGGCTCTGGCACTGCTGCTGATGTGGCCTGGAGTTCAGTCCTGGGCCCAGCTGGCTCATACGGCTCACACTGGCCTACCCAAAACCAGCAAGAGCATCCCGTGTGCCAGGAGATTCTTATTTTTGGGAACCAGAGTGTGAGCTAGGATAGGGCAGAGGGATGGGTGGCCACTGCTAAGAGTGGCTCCCCAGGGGCCAGAAAGGCCCCACACTACCCACATTGCCTGTGATCCTGCCGTTTGAAATACAGTATTAGCTTCAGGATTTTTCTTAAACAGGAGCTCAGCAGCACTTGGCAGCCACTGTTTCTTTCAGTGCTGGGGATGGAGCCAGGCCCTGTGACTGAGCCGCACCCCCAGTTCATGTGCTGAAGTTTTTAAGACAGGGTCTCGTTAAGTCCCGAAGTTACCAGGCTGGATTTGAACTTGAGATCCTCCTGTCCCAGCTCCCTGAGTGCTAGAATTACTTTACAGGTGTGTATCACCACACCCAGCCTTTTTTCTTAGAGACAGTGTCTTGCTTGAACTAGTCCAGAACTCTTGCTTTGGCCTCAAAGTACATAGGATTACTGGGACACACCAGGCCAGGTTTTGGTAGCCAGCATGAAGGTGGCAACTCTGGGGCCAGGGCCTGGGAAGCATTCCAGCAAAGAAGTCAGGAGTCGGTGGGGAAGTAACATAAATCAACTGGGATCTCCAGTGTGTGCCTTCCTCTCTGGTCCGTTTCACAGCCCTACACTTGCAGGCTTTCTGGGAAACCAGAGTGCCCTGAACTCGGCCATCCAAGGCAGACCTGGAGAGGGGATGACAGCACTGCCCAGTTCTGAACAGGCCTGGCGTGGGGGAGGGCAGGCCCTGTGAGGGGGAACACTAGGATGCCGGGCTTGTGCTCAGGCAGCTGGATACTCCCAGCCTGCCCGGTGGGCTCTGAAGGAAGCATGGCGAGGCCCAGCGATGACCTCCATGAGATTCTCATCATCACACTGACTCACATCCGGCAGAGCACAGCATTACCAATGCCTGCTGGTGACTCCATTTCCCTTGTGTGGATCATTAGTCCAAGACCATGTCCAGAGCCATGATGAAACCTGGGGGCCTGGTGTCCACCTTGTGTCTAGGCACAAGGCTGGGAAAGGAACCAGCGGAGACTATCACCCACCCACCCACCCTCCTCAGCTCTGGGGAGACACGTTTCCTCCAGCGCAAAAGTTAAGCCAGTGTTACATTGTGAAGTTACAGAACACAGCGGCCACTCTTCACTGTGTAGACTCCCTGCAGCCTAGCAGGAAACCCGGCCGGGCTTCCCAGCACCTCCGCTGGCTCACAGCACTCTTGTTGCTTCCCAGGGACGCAGGCCTCACTCAATTTGTCAGAACAGGGCACTTCTCATCTCTCTAGGCAGCAAACATCCAGCTCCTCCTGCCCAAGGACAGAGGGGTCTGGCTCCAGGCTCTGGCCAGCGGGCTTAGGAGAGGGAGAGAGGGTCATGTCTGGGGGAGGTGGCCTGACCTCCAGGGCCTGGTTCCACAGCTGCCAAACAGGTCTCCCCAAGAACCTCCAACTATGGTCCCTGGGGAGAAGAGCGAAGCAAGGAAAGTCCCCAGGACATGCATAAACTGGGCCTCAACTTAAAAGACTCACCCCTTGAAACTAAGTAGGCCTGCCCACCTGTGTCCCTGCCTCTGAGGACAAAGGTAGAAATCCCTATGTAAAACCCTGGTGTCACTCACTGCCTTTTTGGGATGCCCTGCCCCAAGAGGGTGGGGCATCAAACCCAAAGTTCCTTAGGCATAAGCTGAAGCCAGAGGTGGACCCCCCAGGGCTGAGTCAGGGCCCGCCCCACCTAGTTCTGAACACTTCCCCTTAGGGTGTGTGTATGTGTGTCTTGATTTCTGCAGCAGTCCAAGACTCTGGGGAGGTAGGTTTGAATAATAAATTGGAATGACCAGCAGCATCTAAGTTTTCAAGCCTCATCTCCACAGTGCTTGCTCTCACTGTACATCAGCAAGCCTGGAGCCAACTGTGGGGCTGGGAGGCAGGCACTGGACCTCTAGGTAGAGTGAAAGTCCAGGCAGAAAAGGAAGTCCTTGGGGGCTGGTGAGATGGCCCAGGGGTCTAAAGCACCTACTTAGAACAAGCTTAGCAAAGCACAGGGACCACGGTTCAATCCCCCAGCACCACATGCCAGCCAGCCCCGCCCCCTGGCTGGCCACACACACACACACAAAATAAATAAATAAAATTAAAAAAAAAAAGGAAGTCCTTGCTGTCCCTCAGGGGTGTCCCTTCACTTGTCATTTCAGCCCAGGGCCTGTGGACTGTAAGCCCTTCTAGGCCCCACACTGCATGCTGGAGGTGGAAGGTGGGTCACAACCCCTTCTGATGTCACATGGCTCTTCCCCTGCTCACTAGGTACCCAAAGGGCCCACTGGACCAGAACCACTATTCTAAGTTACGAGACTGGGAGGAGACACTCTAATTGAGCTTGCTTTATCGGTGATAGACTGGCTGGGCTGGACTGAACTTTTCAAGGGACTGAGGGCAGGAGGTCCTGGTTAGGGCCAGCACTCTTCACTGTCACATAGGGTCAGGGTCAGCTCCACTGGCAATGAGCCAGTTAGGGTAGGAGGAATGTGGGGGAGAAAAGGGGTGGTGAGAAGAAGGAAAGGAGAAGGGAAGGGGGAAAGGGAGAAGCAGGAAAAGGGAAGCGTGGCGTGGCTGGGGTGAAGCTAGGGCGAGAGGCGGTCCAGAAGGAGAGGCTCAGAAGGGAGCCTCCCTGGGTGTGCACGCAGTGGTGAGGGCCCGTTTCAGCTGCTCATAGGTGACAAACATCACCACATTCCAGGACCCCAAGCGGAGAAAGGAAGGCATGAACCTGGGGGAAACAAAACACAGGTTGCTCAGGTTAACTCCCTCTCCTACTGGGCCCTGGCGTCCGATCCAACCCAACCCAGAGGCTCTGTCCCAGAGGACGGTGGGAGGACTCAGAACTGTGCCTCACAGCTGTGTACACAACAGCAAGAATCCCTGAGTTCCACCCCTGGCTCTCCTCTTGCAGTGCTGAGGATGAACTCAGGGCTTCATGCATGCTAGGCAAGTGCTTTCCCACTGGGCTCCATCCCAGCCTTAAGCTTTAAATCCCTGAAAATGGAGACCAGGGCAACACTGGGAAGTCTGACAGTTGGTTGCTTTGCCTGGAGCTGGGCAAAGGGGTCAGAGGCTTACCCTTTGTAGAAGGCTCGGGGTCCCTCCTTCTGAAGCATAGTAAGGGCACAGTGGCCAGCGCTGCTGTACTGGCCCAAGGCAGAGTTCATGTATCTCGTCTTGACCACGTCGACTGGGGAGGCGATGACGGTGGTACAGAAGCCTGCCCCAAAGGCGGAGGTGAAGTGACAAGGGAGGTCATCTGGCAAGGAGCAGGAGGCAAGGCAGTCAGCACTCCTCAGCCACCATTCCCAAAGGAAGAGAATTAAGTAGCTAGGAGTCTTGGGTTTTAAAGAGACCTCTTCTGAGGACCTAAAAGAGTCACTGTGCTTATCCGGCCACAACTCCTCAATGCACAAGACGGGAGCTTGGGCCCAGCTGGCTTCAATGTGGCAAGGAAGAAATGCACTCACTCTACAAGCAAAGGACAAGCAGGACGGAAAGGTGGGGTCTGCAGGCAGCCAGGTCCTGTCTACTTCTGCACCACACCTACTCTAACCCACCTGTCATGAGGTTAGCCTTCAGGAGCGCATCCTTGATGATGTCATAGGTCACCAGCTCAGCACAATTGACGATGGCATTACGAACAACATTGGGAGAGGTCCCTATAGGAAGGAGGGAGAGGCTGTGTGAGGTCGAGGCCTGGGCCTGGGGAGAAGGGAGAGGGGGGAATGGGCACATCTGGTCTGTACCTTTCCAGAGTCCCCGGAACCCTTCCTCTCGGGCGATGGTCTTGTAGGCATCCACAGTGCTTTGGTATCTGCGGTCACCACCAGCTCTGGCCTGAGCTTGGAACCGGACCTTTACCACATCTGTGGGCTGGGCCACGGCAACAGCCAGGGCACCCGTGGTGCTACCTGCCAGGAGACGGCTCCCAATGCTGGCGTCTGTAGGAGCAGCAGGGGTGCGGTGGAGAGCTGGCCGTACATGCTTCTTTATCTCTCCTCACCAAAACCCTGTTACTGTGCTCTGCCTTTCAGTTACAGTGTCCAGGCCAGCTCTTGCTCTAAGAAGTTTCTTCCCGAAAAGTGCAGTGTCACTATGAATGTCCACAACTTACTAGGATTTGATGAAGAGTCAGACAAAAATTAGACTCTGTAGGGTTCGGGCATGTGTGTGTTACTAGGGTTTGAACCTATGGCCTTGTGCATGCTAAGTAAGTGGCACCTTACCACTGGGCTGTATCTCTAGCCTAGACCTTCTGTTTGCTATCATAAAACATTTTCAATTAAACTGCTCAATGAGGCCTGGGGAGATAACTCAGCAGCATAAATGCCTGCCTGGCAGTTCAATTCCCAGTACCAAAAACAACAACAGCAACAACCCCCAAAAAACCATGAAACTGCTCAATGTCCCCGAGAAGTCAGACTCATTTCCATTTAACAAATATAAAATCAAGGCTAAAAGCAGCAGCTTTCTCATGGCCCAGGATTCCCGAGACTTGGGTCCTTGTCTCAGATCTACTTCTCCCTCCGTGTGATCTTGGAAACTCAACCTGGTGTCCTGGGCTTCTAGGTCTCCTTATGTGTAAGATGAAGGCTGCTGGGTGCGGTGGGGCACGCCAGCACTTGGAGGGATCAGACAGGAGGACTACTTCAAGTTTGAGGCCAGCTTGGGCTACAAAGTGAGTTCAAGGCCAGCCTGAACTGCACTGTGATACTGTCTCAAAAAAAAAAAAAAAAAAAAAAGGGGTGGATATGGCAGGCAAGAGGAAGTTAGAGAACACTGGCCTTAGAGGCAGAAGCCCTGCATGTGATTTTGGCTTCCCACTGTAAGCCTTGCAGAATCCCTCCCCCGTTCAAGCCTCAGTCTCTTCATCTGTAACTAGGGGATGGTGCCACCTACCCCCAAGGTGGTGGTAACGACTATCTTGGGAGGATCCCTGTGCAGAGCCCAGCCCAAGGCCTCATGCATACTAGGCAAATCCTCTATCCACCGAACTATCTCCCTAGTCCCGAATTAGGGCAATTTCCAAACCGCCATTCTTCTACTCCTCCAAGGGATCTTGAGGCCTAACAGAGCTATTGAGCTCTGAACTAAGATTAACTGTCAGCAAGATAAAAAAGCCAAACCTCAGAGGCCTGGCCCAGTGCCACACTCACGTTCAGATCCCTTGGTGTAGAACTGCTTGACTGAGTCATAGAGCCCGATGCGGACGGAGGCAAAGCTCATCTGGCGCTGCAGCCCGGCCACCAGCCCATTGTAGAGGCTGCTGGCACCCTCAGTGCGCACCATGGTCAGGATGGTGCCCAGCACGCCGCGGTACTTGGCACTGGCTGCAGTGCACACTGGCCCCTGTCGTTCTCCTTGGATCTGCAAGCCCGAGACACAGTGGCTCTAGGGACAGGCAGGCTGCTGCCTCCTGCCAGCCCTGTGCACCCCAGAGGACCCCAGAGGCCCTTAAACAGTCTGTCCTTGGACAGATCAGACAGCCCCCAGGCTTTGAACCATCACCTGCAGCCGGACTTTAGCAGTATCCAGAGGAAAGGTGATGAGATCTGCGATGCAGGCCGCAGTGCCAGCCCCCAGGAACTTCACAGTGGCAGTCGGGGGCACCTCGGTGGCCTTGAATCCAACCATGATTCTGATTTCCCTCTACCACACAGCAATGGAGAAAAACCGAAGGACGCACCACCTTCTATCAGCAAGATGAGATAGAGGAACTCTGCCGGAATCTATGCCCAAGGGAGAGAAGCTCTGTGGGCAACAGTGGCCCGGGCCTGCCCTGCTGGCCTCCCCAGCTCCTGCCCTCACCTGTCCCCAAAGCACCACACAGGACTCAGGGGTCCCCTGTGGGAAAGCAGGAGGGCTCCAGAGGGACTCAGGAAGGGCCAGAGGAGCTCATATGTTGTGAAGGGCGCTGTTACTGTAGGGAGGGAATGGATCGGGTGACTCCAGTGCTGCCATGAAGGTCACCAAGCAGGGCCTTGGGCTGTGGCGCAGGCACTGTACTGGCTGCATCCATGTGCTCGTGTGTGGAGCTATCAGGGCTGACAGAGTGGGGACAATCTCTGCTAGACCAAGACCTGACAGACAAAACCCCACAGGCTTATATTCTGGATTTCTAAGCAGGAGACTCCTATGGTCTAGAATTACCCAAGAACAAGAAGAGACAAGATGACTAAATTCATCTTTCCCAGCCCCCATAAAGCTCAGGCTATAAAGGGTGAAGCTGGTTACAGCGGCTCACATCTGTAATCTCAGCATTTGGGAGGTTGAGGCAGGAGGGTCACGGCAAGTTAGAAGCCACCCTGGGCTACATAGTGAGCTCAAGGCCAGCCTGAACTACAGAGGACCTTGTCTCAAAAAAACCAAACCAAAAGGCATTCCCACTCTCCTGGGCATAGCCAGGAGGGCATATTCTCAAAGTGCAGAGGAGAGGTAAGGAGGAAGGTCGATCAGGAAAGACTTCTTAGGCAAGGAAATGTTTGCTTAAAGGATGTGAGGGGATTCTAGGGGCTCAGAGTAAGCATCCAAGTGCTGTCTCCTCTATCGAGGGGGACTCACACCTTTGCTCCCCCTCATACCTTTGCAAGGGGCAGGGTTTAGGAGTTCCCTTAGATCTGAGGACTGGCACAGGAAACCACTCTGAACCAAACAATGCCCTTGTTTACTGCCCCAGGAGGAAGCGAGCCCAGCACCCCGCTGGGGGAGGAAAACCTGCTTCTCCTTCTTAAGTTCACTTCTCTGATTTCTCAGAGGAGTAGCTGCTGAGCTCAGCTTGATTGGCTGCCTCTGTTACTGGGGCTCAGGAGGAAAGAACTGGTCAGCGGAGGAAGGATGTGCTGGGAGTCACTGGAGAACAAACAGACTCACACAAACAAACAGCTCACCCAGGTTCTTCCTGCCCCCGATGGTGGGGCAAACAGAAAATCAAGCAAGTCACCATGGCAACTGCTTCAAAGGCTCTCTCAGGGCGGAGCCCCACTTGATTCACGCTTCTGTGGACCTTAGCCTAAAAGGTGCTCAGATGGCACTGTGGGCTAATGAGGGTGCTCCCAGGGTCCCCAGCTTCCCTGCTGACACCCTATTCCACCAGAAGGTACTCCACATCTGGCCCCACCAACTTCCCGGGACACTCCACAAACTCACTTAATCCTCAGAGTAGCTCTGAGGCAGGAGCAGGCCTTTCTTATCGTGTGAGAACTTGGCATACAAGGCCTGCGCTCTTTGTTTCCATTTCTTTATTGCTGTTTCTCAGCCCCAGGTACAGACAGGGCCTTTGATAAGGAAAGTTCCTTCATGGTAATTACACAGTTCTGAGACTTGGGCAATGGGCAACTGGCGTTCCTTCTCTGGATGCCAGTGATGGGGCTAACACAGGCTTGACCTTGAGTTGGCTGTAGGGAGTTGGGAAGGCTAGAGACGACAGATCCAGTCACTGCCTAGCTCAAAGACAAGTGACAAGGGTCTGCTGTCATTCTGAATGTTGCCTTGCATTTTGTAAAAGCCAGATCCCATAGAGGGTGCTATGGGGGTAAGTGACCTGTGTTCATGTTTATTAGGAAGAGAAAATAGCTGGATGTGGTGGTGCACACCCATAGTCCCAGTACTTGGGAGGCTGGGCCAGGAGGATTGCCGTGTGCTCCAGGCCAGTCTGAGCTATACAGTAAGTTCAATGGCAGCCTGAACTGCATAATGAAACCCTGTCTCAAAAGACAGAAAACTGGGGCAGTGGAGATAGCTCAGCGGCTTAAGCACCTGCCTGGCAAGTGCAAAGTCCTGAGTTTGATCCCCAGTATCAAAAAAAAGACCCTCCCCCCCAAAATACCCCAATAGATTGCTATCTTTGCTCTGGGGGCTGAGTCCTAGGATGACCTGGATCAAAGTCACAGCTTTGCCTCAAGTCCTTCTTTGATAAAATGGGGACCACTGTTGTTGGCTCCATCCTTGGCTGAGACCAAACATGATGAAAGTGCTTAGTGAACTGTTAGGAACCACGTCCCTGGGTGGAAGGTGGGGATAATTTGTGTTAATGTAATGTCCCGCTGCTGAGTCCTGCCCCTGTACCACAGGGCCAGAGGGCTGCTAGAGTTCTCCCAGAGCCTGGACTCTTACCTGGCTTTGCAAGGTTGCAGGCTAAGGCCTTCAAGATCAAGCTTCTCTAAAGGTGTCCCGCTCTTCAAAGTTGCCAGTAGCTATCATGGCCTGGTCTCCTTGGTTGTCCATAGAAAATGGCTGGGAGAACAAACAACTAAAGATCATACTACGCGTCCTGTGGGTGAGGGCAGAGGAGGAAAGTTTAGCAGGGGAATCCATCTTGAAAGGCCACACCCCAGCAAGGAAAGGGCCGCTGCCCAAGACACACAAGCCAGTATACTAAGTCCCTGACTTGAAGAAGGGGAGTCAGGGTCCACTGTACCCACGGGGGAGGGCCGTGGGCTCAGGCATCTTCGCTTTCTCCTCTGCTATGTATCACACTGGGGCTCTTCTGTTTTCCTATCATCTCCCCCTCAAGCAGTCTGCCAACTGCTGCGGGCTGGGGAGCCATGCGGTGGCCACTCTCCTGGAGTTGGCTAGGGCCTAGACCTGGCTATGAGGAGGCTGGGGGAGCTGGGATCAAAGCCTCCTTTGGGCAGAAACAGCCCCCGCAAAGGCCTTGAAGGCACATGGGGCTTCCTCAGAAAAGACAGGAGGGGAAGGACAGGTTTACACGTCAGTCAACTGGATGCCAGAGGGGAAACAACAAATGGGAGTCACCAAAAGGGCCAGAACCAGTAATGTTAGTGGACGCCCGAAATGCCAGCACTTGGGAGGCTGAGGCAGGAGGATTCCTGCAAGATGAAGGCCAGTCTAAGCTACGCAGTACGTTGAAGGCCAGATCCAACTACATGGTGAGCCCCTGGCTAAAAGAAAAAAAAAAAAAAAAAGGCGGGAGAAATAAAGAAAAATAACAAAAGGATAAAGGAAACTAAGTACAAATGAGACTGGGGAGTGACAAGGAAACTGAAGGGCGGGAAATGCGCGAAGCGAAGCATGGAGCTGGGCGACGGGCGCAGGACTGGAGCCAGGCTCACCGGGCCGCAGGGAGAACTCAAGAGAGCGGGGGCTGGCTGGCTGGCTGCGGTCCGAGGGCAACACCGAAGCGTGCAGTCGAAGAGAACAGCGGCCGGGCTTGCAATGCGGTCCGCGCGGGAGGTAGCGCTATTTGGGGCTGGGGGCGGAGCCTGCATGCCGGGAGGGGCGGGGCCTGGCCGGACCGCGGGTGAGCGGGAGCCAAGGCTGGTGGGCGGAGCCAAGGGTTGGTGGGCGGAGCCAAGGGCGGGCAGCCGAAGCACTGCGCCTGCGCGCTCCCGCCACCGCCTTTCGGAAACGAGTGCCCGGGATTGGCTGTGTGCGCGCCTTCTTCCCTTCCGTGTCCGCGTGACCTATCCCCACGTCTACCCTGTCGACCCTTTAGCGGGCCACTCTGCGCTCCTCCGCGCTCCTCGCCCGGCCGTCCTTGTTGCGAGAAGGGCCAGGCTGACTTCCGGAAAGAAGCAAGGTCTTGTCCGGACGCCACGCCTCTGGCTCCCGACTAGGGCGCCTTCTCTGGGCAGCGACGAGAGCTCCGAAATCTGCGCCTGCCCCGGGCGGGGCGGGAGCCAATCGCCGCCTCCGCAGGTGGCTCGGCGGCCGTTAACGGCCTTGGGGGGCGGCGCGCTTCCTGCTTTCTCCCTGGGGCGCTAACGCCCTGCTGGGGACGTCTCGCCTGACTTCCGATCTTCGTACACAGTAATTTTGTCGGCGCCTGCGAAGTGGAAAAAGTAGAGCAGAGTCCAGGCCAACGGGGTGCTCAGTCCAGGGATGAGAAAAAGCCCAGGAGGAAGGCAGGCTCTTAGAGGGTGACAGGAAAATAGCGGTATGTGGTGCCGGGGATCTAACCCTGGTCCCTTCGCTTGCCTAAGCAGGCACTTAGTCCGCTGAGCTATTTCAGCAGCATTATTGTTTTTAAAGATTTATGTGTTTATTTAATGCAGGGTCTTGCTATGCACCTGGGACTCATAGTGGTCCTCCTGTCTCAGCTGCTCTAATGCTGGGATTGCAGGCGTGCGCCACCACACCGGGTTTCAGTGGTAGCACGGTGCACCAGGGGTTCTGGGACCATATGGTATGGGGGAATCTAACCCAGGTCCTTGTGCTTGCCAGGCAGGTGCTTAGGACTGTCAAGCTATCTCCCAGGCCCAAAAAAAGAAAATAAATAAATAAATAAATTCCAAGTTTTATTTGAAAACCAGGCCAGACATTGTCTTTTATTTATTGATTAATTCGTTTTGGTATTGGGAATTGAACCCAGGGCTTTCACATTGAGCTACATCGGAAGCTCTTTTTAAATTTTGAAATAGGATCTCACTAAGTCACTTAAGTTGCCCAGTGTGGGTTTAAGGCTGTGATCTTCCTGCCTCAGTTTCCCAGAGTGCTGGGATTATAGGTATGCACCACCACACCCAGCTTGCTTTTATTTGAAGTATTCAGTTTGAATCTAAATTAGGGAAAGATGCATAGGGAGGAAGGAAAAGCGAGCGAGTGAACAGCGTGGCAGCAATTCTGCGAATCTGCAGATGGTTCACAGAGGCTTCTGGGCCAAGGAAGGGAGAGGCTAGAACCTCTGGGACAATACTGAAGTGGTCAGAAGAGACAACTTGGATTCCTGACATACAAGAAAGCTTGCAGTTTTTCATTCCCATTAAGTGTGACATTGGCTCTGATTGGGGCCTTTTGGCTTGGGTCACACAAGAGTGAAGAGGAACTGCCTTGGAGTGTGTTATAAAGCTCACGCTCTAGTTCATATCACTAAACAATAAAATTTTAAAAAAAGATGCATAGGGAGGAACGAGGGAATAAAATGCTACCTCGGAGCTCCACTTCTAGGTAATTTAGAGCAACCACCACAGCAGACTAGAGAGAGGGATTGCCACTCCACCTCCAGGGAAGACAACTGAGGCCACGGAGTGCCTTAGGTTATTAGTTGGATAGGAAGGGGGAAGGTTCGGAGTCAGTTCTTATCAGGGCTGCACCAAGCAGCAAGAAGCAGGAAGAGCCACCAGCATCGTAGGTCCTCATTAGTCTGAAAGCTGTGCAGTCTTAAGCTTGGAAATAGCTGGTCCAACCTTCTCTTTCGTAGATGGAGCAGCCAAAGGCCTAGCAGTAGAGCCACTTGCCTGGAGCAGGGAGACCGAGCAGACAGAAGTTTGACTTCTGGGACCTGAGCTGGCCCCATCCTGACGGATAGGAACCCTGAAAGGAGTAGAGACAGTTCTGCCCGCGCAAGAGAAGGCAGAAAAGTGGCTGTTTTTTGTTTTTTTTTTCAGAACCGGGGATTGAACTCAGGCCCTTGCACTTGCCAGGGAAGCGCTTATTCCACTGAGTCATCTCCCCGGCCCAAGTGGCTGTTTTTAGGCCCTCACTTAAGGTTGGAATTCCTTCATGCATTCCTAGTAATTTTCAAAAGATTCTGAGTCCTGCTGTTCAGGCAGTGTCTCTTTTGCTCCAAGCCTCTACCCTTCAAGGTACCACACAGTACAGCCAGGGAGCACCACATCATCCACTGTCACTGTCACCGTACTGTTACCACCTGGCGATGTATCTTTCCAGAACTTCTCTGCCCTGACGAATCTTTCATAAAGTCGTTTCATGGCCAAGTTCTCACTTGATCCTCCTGACACCCTCATGAGGCAGACAGGGAAGGGATTAGTTCCCATTTCATAGGACAGGAAACTGAAGCTGCCTCTTCACCCTCCAGTGTCCTTGGGGGTGGGCATACCCAGGCTTCAGCCTGAAATGGCTCAACAGGACTCCTTTGGCACAGGTTCCAGATTTTCTCTTTTGTTCCTTGTAGTTCCTAGAATCCTGGTTGGCTGACTCATTACTGACAGGTAGCAGAACCCCGTGAGGCTGGCTGGGAAGGCTGCAGCCCTGGCATTGCATTGTGTCCAAGGTCTTCCTCAGATAAAAGAGCTCAGCCAGGCTCTCAGCTGGCTTCCAGCTGTACTGTGGGCCACCCTGTCCCAAGCAGCAGCTTTTCCTGGTAGTAACTGATTGTCTCCTCTGATTTTCAGGGAAGGTGGGTGACCTTGTAAACTTTCTTTTTATTCAAGTAGATCTGTTTTGGTTTGTTTTCTTTCGCCTAAATGTTAGGCACCCAACTCCATGGCTTTTACAAATTAATATAATTTGTTTTCCATCATGTCAGTGCAAAACAAAGTGTTCTTAAAGCACTGCAGACCACAATTTTCATCTTCTAGTTCTATTTCTTGAATCAGTGAGGAGTGCACATTTCTGTAACCCTGTGTCTGAGCAGCTGCGCATCCACTATTTATTCCAGGCTTAACTGGCCTCAGACAAGGTAAAGATTGAGTGGCCTTCTGGTTTTGTTCAAAATGGAGATTCACGCAACATCTGGACTTTCATCAAGGCCCGCTGCAGCTGCTCGTAGGTTACAAACATCATCACATTCCAGGCTCCCAGACGCAGAAAGGAGGGCATAAATCTGATGGAATAAAACCAACCACAGCATCAAGGAGTGGGCTAGCAAGCAGATCCCTGTGCTCTCCTCTATGCGCACTGATGCTAAAGGACAGACCATTCATTGGGACATTCATTGAACCTTCCTCCTTTCCTTCCAGGTTTCTTTCCTTTTTTTTTTTTTTTTTGTTCTCCCTCTCCCTCTTCCTCTACCCTCTCCCTCTCCCTCTCCTCTCTCTCCTCTGCTCTCTCTCCTCTCTCCTCTCCCCTCTCCCCTCTCCCCTCTCCTGCTCTCTCCTCTCTCCTCTCTATGGGGTCTCACTATGTAGTTCAGGGTAGGCTTAAACTCACTCTGTGCCCTGCGCTGACCTCAAGTTTATGATGATTTTTCTGCCTCAGCCTCCCCAGTAATCCAATGCTGGGATTACAGATAAAGTGCTACCATGCCCAGTTTATCATGAGTGTTTTCTGAGATCCATTCAGTCTCTGTCTTCTCTGCTGAAGGGATTTCCGCAGAAGTTGGAGGCAGGAAAGAAAACACCAACAGCTGAGGCAGGATACTGTATCTGGCAGTTAATCCTCACAATTCTATACGGCAATTGTGTTAGTGCTGCAGCTGCTAGAAACTGAGGCCCAGGGAGAACTAAAGAGCTCACCCAAAACCACACGGCACAGAGCATCCGTGAGCTTCAAATTCAAGGGCTGACCTGAGTGCCGGATGGTGGGCTTTCCAGCTCATTTATGTCTTGATTTCCCTCATCTCAGAAGGCCCCCTGCTGGGACCGGGCGAACAGGGTCCCAGGAGGGCAAAGAACATGGAGACAAGCTTAGGCCCATACAGCTTTGGATGAACGTTTAATCTTTCTGAGCTTTGTTTTCCTCATCTTTAAAATAAGAAAATAACAGTATTTTTTTTTTTTTCTTGGAGACAGGTCTTGCTATGTATGTCGTACTGGCTACCCTCAAACTTGTGATGACCCTCCTACCTCAGTTTCCTGAGTGCTGGGATTACTGGCCAGTGCCACCATGCCTGGCCATCAGTACTTATAGGATTGTCATGTGGATTAATCTGTGTTGGCCAGCACACTGCATAGGCCCCCGTTAGTCAGCATTCAATATATTTCACCTGTCTGCTGCCTTTTGAGTGAGGCACAGTGTAAGGCCAGGGGCCTGCAAAGTGAATGTTCAGTGAAAGTGTAATAGGCTACAGAGAGGCACTTAGCAGAGCGGTCTGCCAAGTTGAAGACGGTTTTATTATGTCATCTCCAAACTTGGGAACCTGTAGTGGCTCTCATTTGCTTGTTGGATTCAGCCTAACACCCTGCAGCAGAAAACCATCTGTCAAAGGCATCAGTGGTGGGGGGCAAGAGGGCCAAGCAATTTCACCAGCAATATAAACAGCTACACCTTCCATGTGATGTCAGGTGGTTTGGATTTGAATCATAGCACTATAATTTTATTTTTTGTATTTTTAGGGAAGGGTCTGCAGGGTGTTCAGGGTCTCACTACTAGATCAGACTCATAGTGATTCTCCTATTTACAGCTTCCAAAGAGCTGGGATTACAGGTGCCACCGCACCCAGTCTCAATTGCTGTCTCAGCATGCCCAGGGGTGGGGGTGGGGGTGGCTGGCACTGCAGGCCCAGGGATCACCCTCCCCCGTGCCCCCCCGTGCCTGCTTGCAGGCACTTTAATCCACTGAGCTATTTGGCCGGCCCTTATAATTTTAATTTGTGATCTTAGACAAGTTACTTTTCTGAGATAAATCTCTTCCTCAGTGCATGTGGGAACCTACTGGCCAGGTCAGAAGTTGCTGAGAAAACTTAAGGTGCTTAGTGCAAGGCCCAAGGCCTAGAGACTCAGCCATTGGGTGAGCGTAAATAACGCACATTGCTGAGTGCTTGTTTGGTGCTAGTGATTACACGAGAGGAAAGATAGATGGGCCACCAGCCCTTGGCTCCGAGGAGCTTGGACTCTAGCATGTTAATAATTTAAGATTATGAATACTGTAATGTAAGGCAGGCGGTGATACATACCATAAAAATGTAATTGAGCAGTGTTGCCTAAGTGGACAGGGAGGAGAGAAAATTTATAGATATGTGTTAGGGAGGAGATGGCAGTAAAGTAGTCTGGCAGGATGGCTGAGGGAGGGAGGTGAGGGAAAGGCACATGTGAGGGAACAGCAAATGCAAAGGCATAGACAGTGTAAGTGTTGGTGTAGGGATGAAGGTGGCACTTCCGCCACGAGCGTGGCAGTCAGTAGTCATGGCGGTAGGTTCTAGAAGAGTCTCAGGAGTACTAACCACCTTTCTCTCCTTCTCCCCTTCCCAAAGTGTTTGGGGTTAGATGTATTCTTTTTCCTAGCCTTAGACTCCTTTCCTGAGTAAGGATCCCCTAAACTGTCCAAATCAGGTTCTGTCCACTTAAAAAAAAATTCTTTGTTCCTTTATTCTTCTTTGTGACATTTACATCTAACCTGCAACCCCAGATCGATCAGTGGTAGGTACTCAAGGTAAAAAAGAAGCCTGAGTTTTCAGGTAGGGAGTGCCGGGGTCGGGAGGGGGAGGCTTACCCCTTGTAGAAGGCTGTGGGGCCCTCCTGGGCCACCATCCTCAGCATACAGTGCAGGGGGCTGCGGTACTGGCCGGGGGGTGAGTTCATATACCGGGTCTTCACCACATCCACTGGGGAGGCCACCACTGTGGCACAAAAACCGGCTCCAAAGGCAGAGACAAAGTGGCAGGGGAAGTTGTCTAAGGGGGAGGAAGTGAATGATCTGTGCTGTGTTCCATGTGTATTCCTTCTTTGTCTCCATCTTAACCTTGAACTCCTTGAGCACAAGCCGGAATCATTCATCTCTCATAGCACCCAGGGCTGAGCTCTTGGTAAGTCCTGACCAACTAGAACTGGGCATCCTGGAGTCAGAAGCCACCAACCCCAGTAGCCTCACTGAGGAAAGTGAAGTCAGAGGCAAGACTCTCAGTTGAAGATATGCAGTGAGTAGTGATGCTGGTCTTGAAACCCAAGGCTCTGGCCTCAAGCCCAGGCCTTTTCTACTCATCACAGTGCTGTACTGGGCTCTGTTCCTCTCCTCATTCCTGCTAAAGCCCCGTTGCCCTTGGTGGTGCCCACCCTGTGGAAGAAGGGCTGCCTCCCTAAAACCCAGGCCCTCACCTGTTAGCAGGTGGGAGTCTAGCAGCTTCTCCTTGATGATGTCGTAGGTCACCATCTCAGCACAGTTAACGATGGCATTCCTTGTGATGTTGGGCAAAGTTCCTGTTAGGAAGGTGGCAGAGGCTCTTGTAAAGAGAAGTGGTTGTCCCTGCTGCAAGGTTCTAAGATCCAATTTGGGGGGTGTCATATTGTATTGCAGTGGTCTCAGCCAGGGTATCTCACCCCAACTAGAAGGTCCTGCTTTTACAAAGCAGGGCCAGGCAGGAAAGGGCCCTGTCACGTCTTTTGTCCTAGGTGACTGTGGTAGGGAGGAGACCAGGTGTGGCCAAAAAAGGAAGTCATTTGTGGAACTGGGCCCTTGGGATAGTGACAGAATGTGGCACTGGCAGAACCTGAGGAGTGGTGTCACTGAGGAAAGGAAAGGATCTTGGCAAGACAGTGCAGAGTTAGCACTGTGACCAGGTGAGTTGCCCTTAGACTTAACACAGTCTCTGTTTCTTCTGCAAAGATGCAGACAATGTGTGGCCCATAGGCAGGAGAGATTCCAACATTCATCAAGGTGGCCACCACGTAGACAAGAGGAGACACAAAAGTCTTTGCTCCCAAGTAAGACCTCTCTTCATACAGTTATATGTAAAAGATGAGCAAGGCAATGATCCTGAGAATCTTCAG